ATAATATTTTTGATTTAGGAAGAATGTAACGTACGATACTTTTTTATATACTTGGCGTAATCTTTTTCTTTTTTTAAAAAAGAGTTTTGGTAGGTAAATATTGTTTCGTGAAATGAAACAGAATAGGTTGAGTAATTATTCTGGCACGATTAATTTTTATGTTTCTTCGCTACAGCGAAATAGAAATGTAATGTGTGTGTGTTGTGTGTATACGTGAAATAGAAGGACTATTAACGTCAAAGCATGTTAGAATTTTTCTCTATCTTTTACATTATATACATACATATATAAAAAATATTTTTAATTTTTTAAAATTAATTTATACATTCCTTTTACTTTGATTTAGTATACATATACAAATAAAAAAATAAGCGTAAAAGAATTTAATTAATAGTTACTGTCCCAATTATGTCAACTCCTATACAAATAAGAGACAGAAGAAAAAGTTTCAGTTCTCTAAAAGACCTTACATTTATTTTGTATACAAATAAAAAAATAAGCGTAAAAGAATTTAATTAATAGTTACTGTCCCAATTATGTCAACTCCTATACAAATAGGAGACAGAAAAAAAAGTTTCAGTTCTCTAAAAGACCTTACACGCTTTTAAGAATTAATTAACATTTGCTTAAATTTAGTTGTCAGATTGGGAACTTCTCTCATTGTCTTGCTGTCAAGAGAGAAAAGGGAAAGCAGCGGCCAAAATAAAAGTGGTTCGTATTTTCCTTTTAGACTTTTTACTTTCATTGCCGTTTTTACTTCTGGTCTCTATTTCCGTTTTTCGCTTCTTCCTTACTAAAAATTACAGTGCTTTTTAACTTTTCAACACGTCTGTGTGCACGCTTGCTTGAAAAATTCAACATCTCGCTTACTCACGTTCCCTTTAATCATATATATCCAGACACAATTGGCTCTTCGTGTTCCAATGCTTATAGTTTACTGCGAGAAGAATTGCACCACTTTGACCTGCTCTTTTCTAGTTAAGCTACTATCGCGCGATTGTTAGATACAAAGGATGACATCATCTAAACGGGGCCGTTTTAGCGAAATAATGTGATAACTGGCTCGTAAACAGAGGGAAAGGGTACGATTGTAAGAATCCTGAGGGATAGGTCAGTGCACATCGAAAGAAATAATGGGATCAGGCCGGTTCTCGGCGTGCTTATCTAGAGTGAATATATACCGAAAACCATTTTCACGTAATCCCAGTTGAAGGAGGTAGATCTGGAATAAAACGAAAAAAGAATTCAAGTGCATGATCGATCTTCATTATGGAATGAAATCGCTTGACTTCTCATTAACGAACTCATTTTCGATCAGCACCGTTGTATTTTGTGAAAACTTTTCTCCTTTCAAACTCCAATACATACAGTGCACAAATCAAAAATTTGTCGAAGTAAATCATTGTGATATTCGACAATTTTTATTAGATTTAGATTTAGAATATTAAACATTTTAAGTTATAAAGAAATCAAAGTGCAAAAAATATATTTCTTTTATTTTCAAAAGGTGTAACATATACTTTTAAAAATAAAATAATATATTTTTTATATTCCGACTTCTGTAACTTCATATATGTATAACAATACATTTATTTAAATATTTTTATTGTTATTAGTCTTTTATTTTTATAATTTATAATATAACTCTATAAAGTAGCATAGTATTAATTACAATATATATACAATTAATACTACATTTTATATACTTATTATATTATTCTATATTTCTATTTTTATCAATTTAACATTTTTAAATTAACATTACATGTAATGTTAATTGTAATATGTATGTAATATAAAGTGTTGGTCAATTTCAGCAACTTAGGTCTGTTTACTCTTGTATGATTTTGATGCGTATCTACGATTACAGTAAAAATTAATCAGTAGCTTTATTACAAAGCACACAATCAACAATATTATGAAGAGATTAAGGAATAGAAATGCGTAGACATCGATCAGATTCTGTTCTAGCCAGCTCTGAGATTTAAGCGGCGTTGCTAAACTTCCATTTGGATTTCGGACAGCGTATTCGATGCCCCAAACAGCTAAATCTAATGGCAATAATGGGCGATCCCTGAATTCATCGGATAATCGTTTCATGTTTCTTGCATAACTACAGGAAAAATGTTTTATCATTAATATAATACAAACTACAAACGCATATTAATCAAAGTAAAAATCTGAATATAGACACATAAACGGGAAAATAAAATTTTATAACATATTTTTTGGACATTACTTGTGCAAAAATTTATTAAATCGATTATACTACATTAATTTAGACATTATATAAAATGATTATATTGGGTTTATTTCTCAAACATAATAATTGTTAAAATACTAGAGAAAATATGATACCTTTTATTGTAAATTATTTGTTCAACTGCGTGTACGATATTCCTTGTGGACAATGTCTTATATTCCAAACGTATGCCAACGCCTTTAACTACTAATATTTCCGCAATGGATTTGCCATCCATAATAAGAGGCATTGCGATCAGTGGTATACCTTCCCAAATAGCTTCTTGCGTGCTAAGAAGACCAGCATGATTCCATATTGCCTTCACATTTTTATGAGCTAAATATAAAAATTCATTTCAACAAATTCTAATTCATATTATTATAATCAAAATTAATCTCAGCATTTTGTAAAAACAGTTAAATTAATGCAATGTAGGGGGAAATGGTCGAATTGTGCGCAGCGGGTAATTGTGCGCATCCTGATTTATCACTTTCCTAATAGATAGAAACATCATTGCGGTGAAAGTTTTACGCAGAAGGGCGTCCTTTTAAGATATTGCCATACATGATGCGACAAGCGTAATTATCAATAGAAATAGGGAAAACTAAAATCCGATATTTTCTTGTTATTTTGGCGTTTAGAAAGTAAGATAGTAAGTCCGTTTTTCTAATTTGTTTACTTAAAATTACATACTTTATTAAAGTACGTTATTTTGTGCGTCTTTTGAGCTATTATTCATTGAATTTGATTAAGACGTGTTGAAGTAATCGTATTTCGTATTGAATCAAGTCGCGGCGGGCAATTGTGCATATGCGGTTTGAAATGCGCACAATGACCCGTCTTGCACGTACGCACGTGAGACAGAAATGCCTAGCCATCTTGCAAGGATACATAGGACGGACTCATACATATGTATACATATATGTATATACAAAGTACAAGTGTGTATATATATATATATATATATATATATATATACATATAGATTTATGTATATATGTTTATTGTTTGAATCACTAATTTTTCCACTTGTTATTTTCTTTTTGCCAAAGTCTGTGTGCATTATTATTATTATTAAATATTCGACATTTATTCAACATTCTATAATACTCGTATAATTATTTTATTTATTCATTTCCTATGTCTTTTGCTTTGCGCACAATTATCCAACGCTCGAGAAATTTTTTCGATTTTTCTTTTTTTTCTTTTTACTAAATACAACCTTATCAAATGAAAATCTGTTCTATATAAGGATACGTAATGATAGAAGAATGTTTATAGTTTTAATTTCCGTACTTATCGGTATATCGATTTCAATTCGATAAACCATCTCACAACAATAAAATTCTCTTAGGTGCGCACAATTCAACCACTTTCCCCTACTTTTCTTTCATCTGTTGTCATCTGTTCAATTATTTTTTAAATTAAAAACAAGTTTTATTATTACAATAGAGACTGACCTTTTATTATAAAGAGATTATAAATTATAATTATAAAGTTCTAAAACTAAAATGATTTAAGTGCAAAATATGGTAAGTGCAAAAAACTAAGATCAAAAAAAAAATTGTTAGGCATTAGAAGTAATAAAATAATTAAATAAATTTAATGCAACAAAAGTAGTACGTTTTTTTTTAATTTAAGTTTTGTTATAATAAGTTATGTGCAAGACTCAAGTCTAATCCAAGTTTAATCCAAGAAATAATAATACGTGCTATAAATTTGTATAAATATACCGCAAATTATTGAAATGTCGGAATAGCGATTAAACTTTAAATAGCATTTTAATAATAATTTAAATTGGCAATGTATAAAAATAAGTAATTTTTACGATTACCAACGTCGTTCTGTTCAATAATATTTTAGAGAACACGTTACATTATGTCGAATTAAATATAATTTGAATTAAAAATAATTTGGATAAATTAATATTTAATTATAAATAATATTGAAAAATAATTGTTAATAAAATAAAAAAGTTATAAGTGATAAGTAATAAGTAAGTAATGAGGGATAAACTTAAAAATTAAAAAAAAACCTTATAAAAATCAATGATTGACTAAACATTGCAAAAAAATATATGTCACGTTTATGTTTTTCTAAGAATCAAGAAACATACATAGAATTTTTCTTTGCGGTATCCATTTCATAATCATTACATTGTTCGGTATTTGAAATGGCACTTCAACATCCAGCTTCCAGAGTACTCGTTGCTTTAGTTTCGACAGAGCCAGTATAACGGTTTTAATTTTGTCTAGCCCGAAAGTTTTCCATTTCGCAATTGATCCTAATGATAACACGATAACTCCATTTTTTGCTTCGTCAAGAAATATACGCATATTCTGCTAGATAAAGATAAAGACATTTCGATACTATATACATAAATAGATATATATTTGTATAATATTTCTTTTATTTTTTTTATTTTGTTAACAATTAAAATGTTAATTTATCTGAATTATTTTTAATATTCAAATTATTTTAATAGAAATAATATTTTAATATTCTGTATAAAACACCTCTAGTAGCATTTTCTGCTATTGTCTACAAAGTAAAATCTACGTGCAATTAATTCCAGCAGAATTTAGCAGTCTGTTGCAAAATTCGTGCATTGTACATGCAAATAAACTGTTTGCAGACACTTGCTGCAGAAATCGGGATATCTTGCAGCAGATTCTTCTCGTAACTGCAGTCTGTAAACAGTTTGTCAGCAGATATAAGATTCTTTCAGCAGAACTAATGTGCAGATTCTGGTTAAAAAAAACGCTATAATTCTTTGTGCAGATTTTTGACATATTCTGCCAGCAAAGACGTTATGATCTGCTTCCCCAGATTTACAGCAGTCTTGCTACTAGGGCAGCTAGTTATAAGTAATTAATCGAAACGTTTACAAAAAAAGTTACATCTAATAAAAAGGCACTTTCAAATTTATTTATATAAGATTATTTTATACGATGCAACGGCGATTCTTTTTATATACGTTGACTTTATATAAATAAAATATTATTGTACAAATCTTATTAGAGTCTTTAAAGGGTCTAGCAGGTTAAGGAAGGGATTTCCTTAATCTGCTAGACGGGCCATGCGCGTAATCGATCGTCATAGTGAATAAAATGTCCACCCAGATAAAAGAAAATTTTGTGCCAAGTTTCATTTCCACACAATTTCGAAATATCACAAGAGATGTGAGTTTTCAATATTTTTTTCCGCTAAATTTAAATTAATCTTTACAAAATATTCATGATTACAAAGGCTATCTATATACATACAATTGAATTTTGTTATCGTTCTGTGCTGAAAATTCTGTTTTTAAAAAATCCAGAATATTTTAAATCGCATTTTCTCTAGATCTAAAAAATTGCGAATAAAAATAAAAATCGGTTTTTTTGTTATTTTTCGGCCTTAAATGTAAATGATTGACATATATTAAATTGTTTCTAAATATAATTACATACTTCCGATTTTACATCTGCAAATAATAGTATAAAACTTTAATGTTATATAGAATTTGCGTAGTTTAAACTGCGAGGTTTCAATCTTTTTCTCAGTTGAAAAATCAATTTAACTGATTCAATGTCAACTTGATCAATTTTAACAGTTATTCCATTTTTTTAAAACAAAAAGCATCAAATTTCTAACTATATCATGCACATAACAATACATGATAAACAATAATTAGCATATAGACCGCGTAAGTGATAAACACAATTCAAATGAAAGTGCCTTAAACGGTCGAGGCTGGACCTTGGCACCTAATAATAATATTTCTGTGTAAACCTTAATTCCATATTTCAGTCATTTTAAACTGAGCGCCAAATTAATTTCGTGCTTGTAACGCAATCATAAACCGAAGCCGGAATTGTGAGATTAAAATTAAATCGATCTCTAATACGATGCGATTAAGCATCTTAAAAAACCTGCGAAAAATTTATTACGAAGAATATTTTGTCAGCCATGATTTGAATACACAAATAATAATTAACTAAATTCTTCGATATTTCGAATAATTTTGGGTTATTTGAAATACAAAATATTATATGGCTTAATACATTCAAAATCTTAAGTCTCTTGATGTCATATTATTAGTGTAAAATAAGTTTATCATGTTTATCAGGTTCCAGGTTCCAGATTCAAATCCTGGCTGAGATAATATTCTTCGAGAATAAGTTTTTCGCAGGTTTTTAAAGATGCTTAATCGCATCGTATTGAAGATCGATTTAATTGTGATCTCTATTCTGGCTTTGGTTTATGATTGCGTTATAAGCACGAAATTAATTTGGCACGCAGTTTAAAATGAAATATGGAATTAAGATTTACATAGAAATATTATTAGATGCCAAGATCCAGCCTCAACCGTTTAAGACGGTCTCATTTGAATTGTGTTTATCACTTACGCGGTCTATATCCTAATTATTGTTTATCAACTCTATGTATTGTTATGTGCATATAGTTAGAAATCGATCTTTGTTTGAAAAAAATGAAATAACTGTTAAAATCAGTTAAATTGGTTTTTTTGACTGAGAATCAAATTGAAACCTCACAGTTTAAACTGCGCGAACTCTATATAACATTAAAGTTTTATACCATTGTTTACAGATGTAAGATCGGAAGTAAGTAATTATATTTAGAAACAATTTAATATATGTCAATCATTTACATTTAAGGCCGAAAAATAACAAAAAAACCGATTTTTTTTTGCGACGTTATCGAATATAATATGTCATAAGACTTATCTACTGAATTAATTTAAATTATTTTAAAAGTAGCCAATTTTTTAGATCTAGAGAAAATGCGATTTAAAATATTCTGGATTTTTTAAAAAACAGAATTTTCAGCACAGAACTATAATAAAATTTAAACTTTTATACATATATATATATATATATATATATATATATATATAGCCTTTGTAATCATGAATTTTTTTGTAAAAATTAATTTAAAAACGGAAAAAAATATTACTGAAAAATCACATCTCTTGTGATATTTCGAAATTGTGTAGGTTTTTTGTAATGAAACTTGGCACAAAATTCTCTTTTATCTGAGTGGACATTTTGCCTACTATGACGATCGATTACGCGCGGGGCCGGAAATTCCCTCCTGAATCCGCTTGAGACCCTTTAGCAATATTTATCTTTGATTTACAACTATTTTCAAAATAATAAGAACAATCTGTCTTACCTCAGGATACGTTTTAACTACTACGTCTCTGGCAATCGGTGGCACAATCTGGGCCTGCAATCCTCCAACCTCCAAGGCGTTTGGTGGCAATGGAATTGCAGCCTCGGTTGCACAATGACTATTGATTAATACGATACTGATATCGTTCTTTTCTATTTCATGTAATGGCCTCAACGAGTTGCCTACATATTCCTCGGCGAGCAGTTGAACGATAGGCAAGAAATAATAATGCCGCAAAAGATCATCCGCGATATAATACAGAGTGTTCAACGTTCTTTGCCACAAACCTACGGGTTTTGCCATAGCTGAACTTACATAAGTTCGAACAGTCGGGTAACTTAGACCACCGACAAAATCCTTGAGCCACGGTGCAGCGGCTAATGGCATGAATCCCACTATAGGTGGCTTACCTTTAGCAACCTGAAAGAATATCTACATAGTGACATAGACAAACTTGCTAAAACTAAATAGCTAAATAGTTTTTTCCTATATATATAAGTATAATAAAATAAATTAAATACTTCTCTGCAGCAGAATTTTTATTAGTTTTTTGCCTATCATTTTTATTAGTGCACAGTGCAAAATAAATATATAATTATAAACACATGTAAAAATAAGTATTATAAAAAAAGTTAAAAATTTGGCAAGTTACATAGCTCAGTAATATGTTCAGAAAATTTTCACATGAACGAGCATTTTCATTCAAAATTTATTTAGAATTATACGAAGATAAAGCTACAGTTACAAAACGTGTCTTAATTATTATACAAGTTCACATTATCAGGTATATTATTTCGAAAATGTATTGTTAAATCTCTAGTTATCTTAGTTAAATTTGAAATGTACTCGTAAATTAATGGACTGAATCTATGTTCTGTAAGTGATCAGCTGTGATATACTAATCTATAGCTTACAGTAAACGAGAAAATTAATCAATAAATAACAAGCGAAAATCAATTTCTCGGACAACAAAATATCTGTGTTGAAAAGATATATCTGTGAAAGCTGTCGCTCTGCATGGACATACATATTGCGATTATATTGGCTCTGTGACTTATTATTTCTTTATATAATTTTACATATATATATATATATATATATACATATATTTACTTATAAAGATAAATACATGTATTATAAAAAGGGTTAATTCGATTAGTCCAGTAGCTCAGCGCGCGATATATTGTTGGGTTCAAAGATTTTCATAGAACTTATTTAGCTACAAACTTGGCACTCTTCGCAATATCACAATTCACAAATAATTGAGAACAATGTTATTATTAAATTTAATAAAGGTTCATATTGCGTTAGATACTAATAAAAGTGATCGATTTTTCTTTTATATTATAATATTTATTTTGTTTCATTTCTATTTATTTTATAAAATAATAATTGCATGGTATGAGTTTTAATTTCTTAGATAATATATCCTGTATATCTATGAAAAAAGTATTGCAAAAATGTTCACATTTTGATATTTTTTCGCATTTTGTGTATTTCACGGAAGCCTAAAAAACCGTTTATTTTAACATGAATCCATTATCAGCTAATAACCGACAATTCACCAATGTCTTCAAGGTTGTACGATGCCGTACAAACAAAATTTCACTTACAAAGCAACTTCATTTCCTTCCAACATAAAAATGTACTAAATAATTACAGTCTAAATATAGAGTACACTGCTTATCTTTACCTCCCATAATCCATAGAAACACTGGTGTAGAGTAATGTCCTGCACTATGACATCAAATTCAACAGTCTTGATCATTTCCAAAAGCTCTTTCGCTGTATTAGTTTTTATCGCCTTATAACATCCGTAGATGGCCCACTGATATGTAATATACGCCATATGAAGGACGCTGTATTTTTCCCACTGTGCCGGCCCATAATCCTCGTAATCGTCAGAACTCATCATACCATCGAAAACCTGAAAGCAATAAGTACTGTCACAATAGAAGATATGTAAAACGTAATAAGTTATGAATATTGAAAGTAATTACCGTCTTAAATAAAATATATTATAAAATAAATTTCAAATTTTATTACAAAGAAACTATTGAGCCAACGCTGATTTGTTTCACACGAATTTTCCTATTTTTCTACGCAAATATTTCTGTTCTGTATTTTGTTGAATATTAATATATAATATGTATTGTTATATTAAATAAAAAAACTAATCTGATCTAAATTTTTGACATAATCTAATCTAAATTTCTAACAAACGTTTCGATCACTTTATATTGGTCATCCTCAGTGTTAACATATAGATAATAACAATATAATATAATAAAAAATTAGTATACGCATTACGCATCTTATACTTATTCGAAATCAGATTTTTTGCTATTCATTTTTGCTTTCCATCGATTTGCGCCATATATTATGCTTTCCATAGTTTTACATCTTTAATTCCGTCAATTATTACAAACATTTTTTTAATATATATAAACAATATTTCAAAACTAAAAAGTTATATTTTTTGTCGTTTTTTTTACAAATTGAATAATTTGGAAATACGCGATTTACATCTAGAACATCTTTGAATTTTGTAATATCTACTTACCTTGTATGTCAAATTTTCCGCGAGTTTACCCTCGACTTTAGTCTCGTGCGTGCTCACTACGTGTACATGATGGCCTTTCCGAAGAAGTCCTTTAACCAAATTTGCCGCCCAAATATGATGACTGGTCGACGGAACGGACTGTAGCAGTAAAATCGACAGCGGTTTTGACGATGTCACGAAACGACCCATCAAAGTACAACAAACAAGGTGAAACAATAAGATGGAACAACTTGTCATAGTTGGAGCAAATTTGTAAGCCTCTCACGTGGTTTATTTTGCACAGCTCAAATACATCAAATAATATGTGTCTAGTATTGCATTTCTCTTCTTCTTATTTCTAGGTAATAGCGTTTATTTCTCAATAAAGATAAGTAAATATTACACAATAGATGAATTTCGATATCGACATTTTCTCGATAATGAACAAGAAAACGAATTAAAATGTTCCCAATTTTTGTCAGCTTGGGATATTAGTATATGTGTATATATCGAAATAGAAAACACATTTTTTATAACTGTTCTTATGTTATCACATTCACCCCTTTTTCCCCCAAAAATTAACTTTTACGTTTTAGTCCACTTTTTAAGCAATCGAAACTATTAATCGATACGCATGCCATTCGTAACCGTCTTATATACTCATTATTTGCTTACATCAGTTTCTCTTTTTTTCTTTACATGTTTAAAACAAAATGAATATTTAGCGATACATAATCATGAATAACTTTTAAGTTTACTGATACTATATTATACTATAATATAGTATATTATAATAATAATGTGTTTGTTAAAATAATAAAAGAAGAGCCAACTAATCAAATGATGAATAAATAAAAAAATTAATTTGGTATCACAATTTATCCGAAAAAATAAAAAAGTTATGTAGAACAATGCAGCATGGTTAATAAATGCATTGACGTAATACGTAATTTTAAATTTAATTTTAGTGACAACTTTACGTCTTGTAAGATAAGCGTCACCGTAAAATCATTTGCATTACAAAATTAAGTTCATTCTATCATTGTAAGTCAGGCAGAAAATTACAGGTATCTTACACATTTATTTATTGTTACGTTGTTAATACTTATACCTTACTTTTTTATATTTTTATATTTATAATTCAAGTTAATAAATAAAAGTTTCTATATAAATTTTATTTTTTTATTAGAATTCGAAAAAGATAAATTCGAAGATAAATCAAAAAGATAAAAAGATTAATTTTGGTATATTATATATTTTATGTATAAAATTTAATAAATATACTTATCCTTTTAATATATGGATATAGATATTACATATATCATATATTGGATATCAGTACATCCATCATTATCATTAAGTGCTTGTATGATTTGTTATTGCAATTATTCGTATAATTTCTCACAATTTAATAACAATAACACAAACCTAATATTTATAAAATTTGTCGGTTATTTGTCGGTATCTTTTTATTTAGTACTTGTCATAATAAATATTATAATTACATTGCCCGCAAATAATGTAACTTGATATTAAAGTAAATAATAAAAAATTATTGATATTCTCTTTTATGCTTGGTCCAATGAAATCAAACGTATTTCTGTTTATTTGATTCTATCACAGAAATTATTGGATAATTAAATAAATTTACATTACGTGACGCATGTATTAAAGCCGCGAAATGTTTAGAACATGATGATTGCACATGATAGTTATAACGTTTATAAAGTAGATGTTAACTAAAAATATTGTTTATATTTCTTGAAGTATAAACTATAGTTTTACCAATTATCAACTTTGAATAATCGTAATTAAATATAATTAAATATAATATAATTGCGCGGCATATAAAACAACAATATGTTTCTATTTGTATTTTATTCCGTTTTGAAAGTGATATTACATGCGTTATTTGCCATTGATAATAATAAACAATGCTATCTGATATTATATAAGCTTAACAACGTCAATACTAAATTACTATTCAAAGTACCATCAGCACTTTTTTGTTATTCATGTGACTATAATAACTATTATTAGTAGGTTTCTTATCAATATCTAAATATCCATTAAATAATCATTTTCAAATATTTTGCATAGAAATTTGGATAAATTAGTACTCTATCGTAGTATCGTAGAATAACTACTGGTTAATTCGGTTTGCTTATATCCAGCAAATACATAAAATGGAAAATTTGATAGAACTGTGAGACCTTTGCGTACAAAAAGAAACTTTTAGTAAAATATTTAATTATTAGGGGAGTATAGCGTAATTTGGTCACCTTTTTTTTAAACGACTCTAAAACTCGTATTTTTTCGAATTTCATGAAACCAAATAAACCGTTAGAAAGATAAAAACCTAGCGCAACTTTTTCTCGAATATACCTACCTTCTATCTCATCGCAAAAAAAAAATATGATCATTTTCCCAAAACACAAAATATCGAGATTTAAGACTTATTTAAGATTTTTGAACTGTACCTTACTTCCGCATTCCCGGGGGTGGCGAGTTGTTGCCCTTTACATTAAAAGATAGCCCTTTTGATGCAATAAATGCCCTACAAATTTCATTCAATTTTCTCTACCTACTCAAAAGTTATTATCACATAGACACAGCTTTTACATCCTCTCTACTTCTAATTTGTTTAATATCTTTTAAATGTCCGTCATTGAACTATTATTGACTATTATTATCTAATGTCTGTATTGGCTATTATTTACCTTTAGAAATGATTAATCTCGAAGTCTTTGTACTCAATCGATTATTAGCGGAATTGTTATTGACTATTGTCGACTTAAAAAAAAATTTGGAACGGATTTCTGCTCAGTTTTAATAAAATTCCAGTTTACATAAAGTCCAGAAAAAGTAACCTCGAACAATTTTATAAAAAGATTGAAACATTCCTCTAATTAAATTTTTTAAAAATCTTATTAAATGATAATTAACGATTTAATTATTAAAGAGAAATCCACTTTAACTTAATCATTATAGTAATCAAAACGCATATAAATTAATATTCATGCATTATTCAATATATAATACATATTTCAAATACGTAAGCATTTACATATGCATAAGATAATACATTGCATAGGCAATTACTTATAATTAAATAATTGCACGCATGTATTAGGTCATCCAGAAAGTTTTTTCATATCTGCGCGGATACAAATTTGAATTTTGCGCTAATACTGAATGAGGGAGCCCAAACTTCAAGTTTGATAAGAAAGAGAAGTCTTTTGTTTAAACAATGCATCCATTCATAATGGCACATGTTCAGTTATTCGATTCTATAATGTCTTAAAAATGGACAATTATAAACAACATTTTTACAATATTATATGCTTTTCTATTTACAAATAGGGCAAGAATGCATGCAAGTCAGCGCGTAAAATTTGTAAAGTCTATGGACAAGATACTCTTCTGATGATACAATTCAGAGGTGGTTTGTGAAATTTCAACAATAAGGTGATTTCACTCTCAAAGACAAGTGCGATCTGAGCATCTCTGCACTGTAAATGATGATCTAGTGAAGCTTGACATAGCCGAAAATCCCCGTTATACAGTACAAAAACTGGCAGAGATATTGCAAAATGTACCGTACATGATCACTTGAACCTATTGATTCCCGTGAGTGAATAAGAACTTTTCGAATGACTCAATACATATTTTAAAGTTTATTCATATTTTATTATGTTTGTAAAATCTGCAGAATCATTAGGCATTAATTATGTTTAAATATATTTATTTACTGTACATCTTAAAATACGTCTAACAAATCTTAAATTGCTGAATTGAAGTATTATAAAAACTTTATGTACATGCGGTGTGCAATTACTACGTCAAAAAATTTTAAATGAAAATTAAAAATAATTATTTTTAAAATTATACATCAATAATATGCTGTTTTTGCCTCTTGTGGAAGTAACAAATATCTCTAGGATATAATTTTTTATATTTAACTGATTTATTATACCAGCTAAAAGTGAAAAGAATTCTTCCATTTTATATTGTCATCCATGCTTATACGGAAACTCACCTTAACTTTTTTTGTAGCATACTTTTATTGCAATATTTTTTAAGAATAAACAAGCCATAAATAAGAAAAATATTTTGTAAACTATTCAATTCCATATAAAGATTTATTTTTTAATAAGTTTAGGAAAAGTCATATTATTTTTAATACGTTTAGGAAAAGTCATATCATTTCCTAAAAATTGTTGAATTGGAAATGGATATCAAGTCGTTAAATGTTTAAAATTCGCCAACACAAATCTAGGATACGGAAATACGTGAAAAACTGACAATTATTTATTTTATTTAAATGATACAATAGGCATTCTTTACTATATATATATTCTTTATTTTTTAAGAAAATAATTACTTCTCCATTACAAGTTATTTTTATTGCAATGCCACATTTTTTTTATACAACATATTTCTGTCAAAGTACAAATTGCATGTTAATAAAAATAATTTTCCTATAAAATATTTTTTTTGGTAAATATTGATAACAACGGACCCAGCCCCAATGACCTCGATCTTCATATATGTTGTCAAAGTCATGACCCTGAGTGATTATCAAGAAGTTTTAGCCGTCGCTCGTTGTTCGTTAAAAAGTTATTAACAAAAAAAGTAACAAAAAAAATAACCCCAATGGGGGTTGAGGGGGCGAAGCCCCCCACCCCCCAGTAGGTAGTACGGGCGCAGGCGAGGAGGGGGTGCAGGGGGGAGAGGAGCAGCCCTCCCCCTGCCTATTATTTAGCTAATATCTATTGCAGAAACAGAAAATACGTGCTTTAATGCTCCTACTTGTTTAGTAAGGCGAAGATTTAATAAATATTCAACTTAATATACTTTCTACCTTGCGTAGGGGTCTCTACTTGTTTAGTAAGGCGAAGATTTAATAAATATTCAACTTAATATACTTTCTACCTTGCGTAGGGGTCTGTCTAATCTTTTCGATGTCTATTATTTTTAGTATATTGTAGACTCATCTATTTAGTAAGGCAAAGATTTTGTAACAACTGCCGTTATTTCGTCGCACGGAGTAGCTCGTCGGAAAACGGGCGGCGAAATTGGCTCAGGGCGGATAAGGAAGAGCAATTAATGTAACTCGGATTTAATATGTACAAAAGAATGCGTTTATTTAAATACTAGGATCTACACAGTTCGGTACGCGCGGACGGACG